CCGACTCAGCCGCCACCGCCGCGAGCTCGGCCGCCAGTGGTCCGCGGACTTTGGGTGTCCGGGTTGAAGGTCGGTCCGGACGTCGGACCCAGCTCGGTTCCCGGACTGTCCGGACGGCAGCGGACGCCGCCGCCGCCTCCTCGTCGCCTCAGCCTGGCGTTTTGTTCCGAGAGACCCGAGAGGCGAGCGGAGCTGACAGTGATTTTGACAGTGATTTAAACCCGCTTTTGTTGTTGTTGGCTTTTCGTTGTTTGGTTTTGTGTGTTGTGCGTGTGTGTGGCGGTTTTTCCCCCGCGGTGCATTTTTATTATTATTATTATTATTATTATTGTGCTTTTTTTCTCTCTTTTTTTTTTTTCAACCCCGTGAACGTTTTTGGTCGGGGCTTCCGAATATGTTTTATGACGGTTGATTTTACACCAGGAGGTTTGTCTCCGGGGAAGACCCAGAGAACTGGATATTTAACGAGAACTTCTTACGGCTTCCCCGGCGCCTCGGGAAAATGGGAGCTGCTGCAAAGTTGGCGTTCGCCGTCTTTCTTATCTCTTGTTCTTCAGGTAGGTGCATGGAGCGCAGCGCGGCAGGGCTGCAGCCGCTGCTGCCGCTGCTGGCGGCCGCGGTTGTTGTTGGGTCGGCGAGCCCCAGTGGAGCCTGGGGAGTTTCCCCCAACCCCCCACCCAGCCCCTCGGCTGCCACCCCTAAGGTCTGATTGTGATCTGGAAGCCCCCACGAATTTTCCTTGTTTTAAGTTAGGTTGGTAACTGATAAGAGTGACTGCTCTGTTGTTGTGGAAGTGAGAAAGTCATGGTTTTGTGGCCATAACACTGGATGACAGCGCGGGTTGGGTTGCAATTAAGCCGCAAATACCACAAGTGACAATTTATGCAAAGGTTTGAGGCCCGAAAGGCGTATTCCAACATGTCACTTAGTGTGGCATCCTCCAAAATAAGGGTTTTTAAAAAATCGTCTTTTAATTAGTGCTTCACCAGTGACTGTCACGGCACCGATCAAGTCAGTTGCTACTTAATTTTGATCGTGAGAGAGAGAGACAATGCATCAGATCAGCAATTTCTTCTGGGTCGCCCCTCACGTTTTCTTTAACTTCAGTGTCCAGCAGTGTTAAAAATAGTTGTAGTTGTTGTCGGAGTATTAACTATAACCCAATGCAGAAGAGGTATGCCGCTGTGTGTTGCTAATGTGCTGGCTTTCAACCACCATTTATGTGCTCTTCTGGCAGAGATTTTGCTTACCTACGGAATACTTATTTTAAACGCGTTGTATTGAAGCATTGTTTTCGATTTAGAATAGCCCGTTTGAATTTGTTCATACTGTCAAATACACTATATCATAAAATAGATTTTGTCCCAAGGTTAGAAAAATAATCTGGCCCTTTGGTATTTGAAATTTTGATTTTGTGAGCATGTTCTGTGGTTGCAACCAGTGGTTGAGAAACTATCTAGTCTTTTGTATTTGAAATTCTATAAATGAATACAGCATCTAGCTCAAAGGTGTGCACATGTACATAATAGGAGTTAGCTTGATAGATGAAACAATTCTAAAGTCACAATGGATCTATTTATCGTAAAATTCAATATTCAGTTACTAGGTTGTGAGATAGAATTATGTTGAGGAGGGGGGAGAAATTGACAAGTTTCATGGCCATGTCTTTATCTCATTTGCCACAGGGAAATTAGAGGATGGTAGTCTTTTCTTTGTGTACCTCAGTGTGTGTGTGTGTGTGTGTGTGTGTGTGTGTGTGTGTGTGTCCGTCTGTCCTCCCCACCCCCCTCCTTTTAATAGGATATTTTGTAATGTATAGAATTTTGCTGAATGGTACATTTTCTTGTGGTTAATAAATGGATAAAGTCTAGTCTTATGTCTGTAGTGGTATTGATCAGTTCCGGGTGGGCTGAATGTGTTGTGAAATGGCGATCATTGCCAGAGATTAACCAAAAGAATCATGTCTGTTTAAATGGAAGAAGGAACATGCTTAAGGCAGGCTGACAGTCCTTTTTGTGCCCGTTTTGGGGAGGAAGATAAACAATGGTGTCTCTAAAATGAATGAATACCCTGATAACATTAAACCTCTTGCTTTTGTGACATGACTTAACCATGAGGTTTTTATTTTTCCTGTAGTACTCTTTCTCCTCTGCTCCTATATGTTCTGGTTGGTGAACTCCTCTTGTTCAAATCCCTCTTTCTGATCTCCTGCCCTTGAGGAGGAGGGGCATCATGGCCACTGACCAAGGAATTGTGGATATTCCCTCCCAAGCTCACCTGAGTCGCACTAATTGGTGAAGGAGGTTATTCTTGAGCAGTCTCAAGGTATTACTTCTGGAAAAGCAGGCTGTCGCTACAGATCTTACAGCTTTCCTTGGTTGGTTTGGGAGTAAAAAGAATTGAGCATTAGTTTCTTACAGGATTATTTTCACTGGGCCAGGAGGTTTATAGCTAAAATTTTAAAATAAAGTAATTTGTTGCTATAGAGCATATTCTACTTACATTAGACTAATATTAAATATTCTTGCATAGCTTCTTAAGTAAACATTCCTAGTTGAACTAAAATATACTTCTGTTGAAGATAATTGAAATATTCTTCAAGACTTTAATCCATATTTATACATGAAGATTTTTAGTACTTAAAATGTCTGATTTTTAAAAGGGCTTTTGTTATGAATCAAATGCACTTTAAAAACAGGATTATTATGTTTCTTTTCCTACTTGATTTTTCTATGTAATTTGTAATCTGGCATGCTAGGAGCACAAGGATGGCTATTTTTATGAGAATTTAAAAATTTCAAGTTTTCAGTTTTTTTGTGTCGATATTTGACTATTTTAAATCAAATAGAGAATAGTAGTAAAGAACAATTTTATTCTGAGTGTTTAAGATGGATCTTTACTCTTTTCTTTAGTATTTTGTGGACTTCGATTTTTCAGTTTCTGAAGACGGATTATACAGACTATTTTTGTAGGGTATGGCCAAGTGTATAATTTCCCCCTCTCATTCAAGGGGAAACTATTGAGTTTTGCCCTCATCATGAAATGCCTTCAGATTCCCTTTGATTTTAATTTTTTTCATTCCTCTTATTCTTCCTCAGATTCTGTAAATCACTGTTTTTTTTAAGCATTGTGGTTAATTTGTATCTTTTCCGACAATTTGTTAAAATGTAAAGACGACTTTAATACTTGCTCTAGTTCCTAGGTTTATCCTTCCTTAAGTGATGCAGCTATTGTGGTACTATATGAGTTGCAGTGAATATATTGAGAATTCCTTTGGATTCTGTAGGAATTGGAGCAGTCTGGTCCATATATTTGATGAAATAAGAAATGGAAATAAAGTAATTATGTGTATTTTCTTTAGTTTAACTAGGCAGTATTGTGCATGTTTCTGTAAGTGTATGTGTGCTTGGAGGGGGAATTGGCAGTATAGAGAATCTTCTGGGACTCTTCTGAACTTGGCTAACAAGCGATAGATATTAAATGCTTTGTTTTCTAAAAGGCAGAATCTCTTAAATGTAGTCTGATCAAATCAAATATGATATATGGGAACATCAAAACCAGAAGAAACCCCCCCACACACACACACACATTCATTTTGAATTTTTTCCTATTTATGAGAAGCCAATAGTTCTCAAGTTTTGGTGACGTTTGCTCCCCACCCTCGTACCTCTCCCCCAAGGGGACATTTGGACGTTTTTGGTTGTCACAACTGTAGGGGAAGAGGGGAGGGTGTGCTACTGGCATCTAGTGGGTAGAGGGCAGGGATGCTGCTAATCATCCTGTAACTCACAGCATAGCCTTCCACAACAAAGAATTCTCTGGCTCAAAATGTCAATAGTGTTGAGGTTGAGAAGTCCTATTGTAAACTCTTAATTTCTAAAAGCATTTGTATATTAGTAAAAGGGCTCAGCTTTCCCTCCCACAGTCAGTCATCTGAATGTTATAAGTACATGGTATTGATGATCTCCAGGTGATCTTGTATTTGAGAATTTTCATCATTTCATTATCTTTTAAAATTAGAATGATTATATTAGAGAAACAGACTATTGGTATATACATTATTTCATCCTATTATACTTTACTAAAAATATTTTGCTGTTATGAATAAACTCTCCAGTTATTTATTATGATGGAATACTTATGAAGATTGCATATTTGTGGATGTGATGAATGTTTGATCAGAGTATCGAGTTTAATTATATTTGCTTTTGATCCAGTAGTCTCTTTGCTGTAATAATCATCTTTAAGGATCTTTCCTTTTATCCTTATTGAAATCACTGTCTGGGCAGAACGGTGGCAGCAGGTGTGTGTGTGTGTGTGTGTGTGTGTGTGTGTGTGTGTGTGTTTAACATGGTGCCTGAAAGTTTTCTAAGTTTTATATGGAAGAAATATGTTCACTATTACATGTTCCATGAATGATTCAAGGTGTAAATTCATTTTTTAAAGGATATTTATTTTGTCTAGCTAACTTTAATTTCAAGAAACTTTTAAAGTGATTTTTTAATTACATAATTTTCTCAAGAATCAGTAGCTGGGTTTTGGTTACCATTAGGCTCATTTAGGCTATACTGAGTAATATTCTATGATCTATTGTAGACTCTTGTCCTTTTTAAGGTTGAAATTTGACCATAATTAATAAGTGTTTAACTTGTTTGGAACTATGGTTTTAAGGAAGTTAACTCAGCCAGCCAGGATAAGAATTACAGTGGAACTCTTAAAATAAGTAGCATTACACCATGAGAGGAAAGATTCTGATGTCACTCTCACAAAAAGTATGCAAATAAGCCTCATATTGCCTTTGTAACACACCTCTCATGTATATCTTTGGTGCTACTGACGTTTTACTTTTTGGGTCTACTAGAACCACTATTTAATAGGAAATAAAGCGTAACTAAACTGAAGGAGATTTTAAAATCTTGAAATTGTCCCTTTGGATTCTAAAACTATTTTGTTGCTCTTTTATCTTTGTAAGATTCTTATTTCTTATCTTTGGTGTCTCATAAATATGTGATTAAAATTTTTGTTTTCATGGCGTCTTATGTTGCCAGTTGTCATGGTGCCTCTCAGGTAAGTTAGGTAAGATTGGCAGCGTTTAATGTTGGGGTCACAAATACTTCATTTTTTATTCCATATTTTAGAACTCATCATTTCTTCCATTCCCTTTCATTGTATTTTTCTTTCCCCTTTCCTTTCCTTTGTTTACTCTCTTCCCCTCCTCTATTCCTTCTGTACTTCCCTATACTGCAGACTGCTTGTTTATGGAATCCACTCATTGCTGAGCATCAAGGATGGCTCAAGAGGGCTCACCCATGGTTTAAATAAAAACAGATTGAATTTAGAATGCTTTAGAATTGACCAGATGATCTTTTCCAGTGTTCTTTCATTTGTTGGTTTCTGGAATACCACACACACTTGGGAGCAGTGGTACTAATTTGGAATCAAATGGCTTTATTGAACTTTAGATTGCTCTTATTCCCTTTTTAATATTCTAGTTTTCTTTAACTCTTTGCTGCTTTCAAAAAGTCTACCTCTTATTGTTATTCATTCATTGTCTCTG